GAGTCTTTATCTGGAAATTTTCTGGTGCTTTTTTATGGCGAGTCAGTTAAAAACATGCAAGAAAGGAACTCTGAATTTTATGACAGGATCTGAAAGGGCAGGGAGTATAAAGGCACAAGAGTATGCCTGAATATAAGAAAGACATACATTATAGTATCAAAACTCCCAACAACAACCTCTTTTACATTATACAGGAGAGTAGTTCTGGTTTGTCAGCAAAAAGAGCAAGAAATGAAGATGAAGCCAAAAGTGAACTGGACAGAGACATGCAGTTGCTGTTTACATTTTGATGAAGGTAAGCAACCCCTATTACTTGTTCCAACCATATCTGGAGTTGGAAGCAGGCCATACTAATGACTCAAATATGCTGTTGAGATCCAGCAACAGATCTATCTCACTAAATTCAGCCAAGTACATGGCAGAGAACCACTCAGAAGAGAGGGGGAAACAAGGACTGCTGTGCATAAAACAGATTAGCAGAGTGGATAAGCTGGCTGGAAACAGCTACCAGTATTTCCTGGAATATTAGCAATTGTGGGGAGTTTTACAAAGCTGCTCTGAGCGGGCTGTGGAAATCTACTAATGTAATCACCTACCAGCCTAACTGGCAGATAAACCCACATGGCCTGCTCATGCAAACACACCAACATAGGATAATGCTATCTATTGCATGTGTTTTCTACTATTAATGCACAGTATATGGTCTAAAATGCTCATTGTGAAACTTTGCTGCACTATATAATTGAATTAATTAATGCTGGTGGTATTTAAATAAAGACCATATTTCCCATAACACCCGTTGCTTCCTGTTGCAAAGAGAAAGTTGCTACTTCTCACTCCTTCCCAACCCTGTCCATTTGTTTTAAAGTTTGCTATTTCACTTTATTAACAAAAGATACATTTGTTGGATGTTGTTATTCCTATAGATCTCTACCTCATTCCACCCCTTATCCCCTGAGAAACTCACACAAAATCGCAGTTTCTGTTGGAAAACTAGCACCCTCCTTGTGTTTTAAACTGTGACCCAGTAATGTAAAACACAGTGGAGAGGCTGAAGTAGTTATAAAGGTAATGCTGCTGCGGACAAAAAAAAGTAACAACATTGTGAACGTAGAAGAAAGAAAATAATATAATAACAATATTCACACAAGCACAAAAGCCAGGCAGTAAAAGTGTGTACTCTTGAAGCACTAATAAACTTGAATGATGATTTAATTATTTAGCAAAATAAAAGAAAAAAAGAAAACAGTGAAGTGTTCAGCAAAGTGATCGCTTCAGGCATGAAATGCAAAATCTGATGTTGCAATGAGGAGAAGTGAAAGGGACTTTTGACCATCACAAACAAAGGTCACAAGTTTTTTTGAGACACACATTGGGATTATATATATATATATATATATATATATATATATATATAAATTCAGATCCCACTAGATCTGAGTTTGCTCAAGACTATTCAGTAACTGGCTTCATACTTAAAGTCTGATTGGAAATAAAATCAAGTTGCTCATCCACAATTGGATAGTGACTTCCCTTTTTTTTTGTAATAATGTAAAACGCTGCAATTACTGACCTATATTGCTATGTTTAAAGTGATGTTTTATGCAGAGCACATGTGTTGTCCTATGTGTGATCAGCCAGTTGAAACTGATTGTGTCCCAGTTTCAAACACTAGGCCTATCAAACATCCCTCTGCTTTTCTGCTGTGCTAAATGTGGCATAACAAAGCTAATTGAACAGTGTTCTCCTCCAACTGTGAAGGAAAAATGCTAATTGCTGTAATTAGAACAGAGCAAAGTTGTGACATTTTGTACATTTCCTCAGTCTGTCACAGTGGCCTGTTCAAACACTTTGTCTGCTTGCTTAAACCCTTTCATTTACCTGTGAAAATAGTAGAGTGTAAACAAAGGTTTTTTTTGTGGGAGGCTGGGAAACATAAGAACAGAGAGTGAACAAGTAGAAAAGCAAGTCAACCTTCACTAGTCATCTGACAAACAGCTTGGAAACACATACACACATGCACCCACACACACATTTCCTACCTTGGTGTCGACAATAGAGCAGGCAATTTGTTTAACATAGGCCAGGTCAGCAGTCTGGGGCATCAGGACAGATTCTCTGGTCAGGCCAATCTGGATGATAAAGGACACTCCTGCTGGAGTGGGAGGCAGTGAGGGTATCACAACACCACCAAGACCCTGTCCTGGTATCAAGTCCATCACAGGAAAACCGCCTTGAGTGGGCATAGAGGGCATAGATATGGGGGTCCCCTGCTGCATCACAGTTGAGCCGGGTGGTGAGGAGCCACCAGGAGGAAAGAAGACCTGGGCCATGGCCCCTGTGGGCATACATGGGCTAGCGTTAGCCATCCAGAGTCCTGTCTGTTGGCTGCCTGAAGCTCTCAACATACACACTCACAAACACACCCAGGTGAAATCTAGAGTTCTCAAAAAAGCCACAGTCATTTAAACTGTCTCAGTGGAGGACAGAGGGGTACACACACTGAGTCCTGGTTCCCCTGTGTTCAGTGTCCACCTCCTCCTAGTGGATCAAGGGAGAAATCCTTGATCCAGGAAGCGGTGGTTTTTCCTCCTTTCAGCCACCTTCTTTCGCGCTCTCTCGTCGTCAGACTCCTGTTATTGTCCAGGCATGACAGGCATGAGCAATGTGTGTGAATGACTCATAAAAGAAAGACACACTGAGGGAGAAAACTAGCCCCCTGCTGCTTTTCCTCCACCACCTTCTCCCCCTCCAACCCTCTTCACCTCTCTTGTCCAAAGAAGTTGCTCTGCAGAGGAGAAAGTCCAAACTTGATTGTAAAACTCCCGTCCGTGGGAGAGAAAAAAAAACAAAAACAATGTCAAACTTTGTTGTGCTCTTCTCCAGGTTGAGTTACAAAATGGCCTCCTTAAACAGGAAACTGTGAGAATGAAGGAGGGCAAGAGACTCTACTGCTTTTACAAGTCTTACACTGTTTCAGTTTCAGCCCCAGTTGAGTCTTTTTTGTGAAAAAGCACACACAGAGAAAGAGAGAGAGAAAGCTTTCTGGGTACCTCCCTCTCCCTCCCTCCTGCCTTCTCATCTGTGCTCTTGCCACGGCCAAGGAGGAAGTGAAATGACTGACACAGCCTGAAGCCAATAGACTCTCAGAAAGTCCTGTCCTTTGACTCCCAACTCCCAAGCTTCTCCCTCCCCCTTTTCCTCTTTCTGCCTCCCTTCCTTGGTTCGGGGTTATTCGTCTTGCTTGCTCCCTTCCTGGATAGAGGCCAGCAAAGATCCCCTTACACTGCCTGAGGCGGCAGCTCCACACACAAAGACCCTCCCGTCTCTTCCTCATTTTCCCTCTTATTGCATTTGCCTCTTTGTGGCCCTCTGTAAAACTGCTTGTCCTGCCTTATTTGTCCTCTGTAACACCTTTTCTCTTTGCATTTTTAGTAGACACACCTATCCCAGTCAGCAGAATAGGACCACACCTAGTGCAGAGTGGTTTTCATGCAATGTCGACTGCAGGTTTCAGTAAAATGGGGAACTTTCATGGCATGAAGGAGGTACTATGATACAAAAGATACACAGTATGCTTAGAAATGATGCATGGTTACCACAATCTTCAGCATGACTGACTCTGCACCACTAATCTAGTTTTACATAGAAAGCATGCAGTTGAAAATAGTGACTTACTACCTTTGGTCATGAAAACTTCCTGAGATACTAATGCTGAAACTCACTAACCACAAGTTCATCATCTTCAGCTTACCTTCTTCCCAGGGCCATAATATCATGCTTCTCTCTGTTAAGCCATCTCACAATATCCAATTCATTAAAACTAATTAACCGCAGGCAACTGCTGAAACGTTGGTGTGATAAGAGACCTCAATATCTCAGCAGCTGCAGTTAATGTTTGCTAGGATTTTACTTTTCACCACAAGAGGGCAATGTTTCGTATAGCAGGTTATTGAATAATCAGGTCCCGGGTAGAGATGAGGCTATATATATATTATACAGCATTTGCAATGTGAAAATTGTATGATGTAATTGAGAAAAGGCTCTAAAGTAGTTTGGATAGGTTATTCCTTGATTCTTGGTTAGTAGTTGACACACCACCTGAGCCAAGATGGGCTCGCTGAAAAAAAAGACTGTTGTAGAAATTCTTTTTCACCAGTTTCACTAATGAAATGTGACTTTGGGTGCCTGAATTTAAACGTTTCAATTTCACAAATCAAGATTAGTTTACTCATCATGGGGAGAAGTACTCCTCTGCCTGTCGAAACAGCTGTAGGATGTTAAGTGTGAGAGTTTATTCTTGACCTTGGAAACAGTAGTATTGACAAAAACAAAAGAAAAGATGTTGTTTTGATGAGTTTGACACTAGAAATCTCTTTTCACATGCATCTGCCGAAGGAGGAAAGTTTCTCTGTGCTCATCTTAAATCTGAGTTTAAGACGTGCACGTGAAATGTATGCGACATCACAACTAGTTTCAACTAAATCTCAGTCCAGCACTGAGAATGGACTTGAAAGAATTGAAGCATTACACATCTTGTGTCTAGTACTTTTGACGTGAACATATTGGTAGATATTATAGAGTATATTTAATAGAACAGTGGACATTGATTAGTTTGGAAACATCTGTATAATATCTTAAGCTTCCCTGAAGGGGCTTTCATAATATGAGAAAACCCAAGTCATCAAGTTATCTTGGCTTGGGCTTGAAACATATTACAAACTGGTGGGCTTGGAGTTTGACAGATGTGGACATTTACCAGGCATGCAGGGTCTAATTAAAGATGTATTATGGGAATTACGGCATCCAGCGTTTTTAGAACTTGACAAATATTAGGATGCACCAATTTGACCATTCTTTTCAAACTTCTCTTTTTAACTTTTAAGGTCTCTTGAGAGTCCCCTCACTTAATGCAATTGTATTTTATCGTCTTCTTCCATGTGTTTTTGCAAGTTTTGTTTCCATTACTAGAGGCAAGAAAGACAACACAAACACAACTCTCAATTCACTGTACAAAATCTTCATTTTTTGTTTTTTTCTTCCTTAATGACATACAACAGGGGACCCGTAAACAAAAAGAGAAAGTCATTTGATACAAGCTAGAATGCAGTTCAAAAATATATAATAAAACAAAATTAATAAAAAGCAGGTCTCCTATCCCTTGTAGTTTGAATACAGCTTAATATGATGTACAAAATATCACACAGTGATAAATTGCTAATAAAAAAATAAAAACACAAAGAAATGAGAGTCCTTTACCTTGGCCTCTGACTGGTAACAGATTTTTTTTTGTTGTTTTCTTAATTTTTCATGTTTTTTAATCATTTTGCTTTTTTACAAGTTATACATTGCCATTATCAATCACAAGCAAGTTCTATGCCTAGCAAGGAAGAATGATTCACTTATGATACTACAGTATTCTTACATCTTAATAATCATATTCATACTCAAAGAAAAGAAATGCAAGAAAGAAAACAAGGAAATGATGGACATTTACAGCACATAATGGCATCTCTAGTCATCATTTACAACCTCGGTTTTGATTTCTTTTTCTTTTTTGATGTGTCATACTGATTTGTCTTTATTCTCAGAGAGGGGCCATAGCAGCTCAGAGTGAAACGAAAGAATCGGCTGGCCATCAGTAGCTCTCATTCTCAAATAACCGAGTCGCAGCAGGTTCCACACTTACTTACTCCAGATTGTATAAGAAATACCTGCAAAACATTATTTCTGCACCCTGTCTGTAACCACTCGACACAAAAGTATCCACTCTTAGATGTAGTGCAAAGTGGACGCAAATAGTAGTTAAATGAGATAACAGGACGTTATGCCCAGCAGCAGTACAATAATATAGTTGCACACTGATATTCTCTTTTTCTATTTCAGACAACAGTCCACCACTCTGATTCAGGAAAAAAGATATCGGCACTATTAATGCTAGTGTCCACAGTGATTAGGAAAGGAGTGTATACCTCTAGGCAACTTTGAACCCTAAGATATGACCTCTGACCCCTAGTGTGACCCTGTAATCTTGAAGAGTTGGAGGGTGCCCCGTAACCAACTGATTTAACACCAGATTGCATCAGTCCTCTCAAGCTAAAGGTAAAATAAAACGTCAAGTAATTTGAAGTCAGGTCAGCCGTTGCTGGGCAACTTTTACCCGAAGCATTCTAACGTGTGTCAGGCCGTTACCAGTATAAATGCAGGACAGGAATATAAATAAATGTGAGGTGTCTCAAAGGAACAACAATGTTTCCATCTAAGCCAATTGTTATGGGTTATGTTCAAAATAGAAGAACCATAACAGATTGGCAAGACAGATTAGGTGCCTGGTCTAATATTAACTGACAACCACGCATCTTAAATCAATACTTTCTATTTTTCTTGCTGAAATGACAAAAGTGTATGAATTTAAAATGGACCTTTCCCCTGGAGCAATTTCTCCCAGAATGCCTCTTCAGAAAGAGAGCAGCTTCACATCATTAGCTTTCTGGGTAACGTGCTACCGTGCAACTGATGCACGTCACACCAGAAGAGGAAACCTCACATTAACACACAAGTGAAGGTAATGTCAAGCTCATTTTTTTTGAAAGCCTGAATAAATAACAAGCCAGAGCCGCCAACAATCCGGCAACTGACTTCAAGATGAAATTAAAAAGACGATCTGAACCGTCTCAGGAAACCTTTTGCAGTCCAGGTGGTCCTGGCTGTAATGTAATTACCATCAGCTCTGTACACTCCGACATTATTCACATCCCTCTAATGAGAAAAATGAACAGTGAACCTTAATTCTGAAATGTGACTACAGTTAATGAAATGATTCAAGGATGAAATGTCATTTAAAATGTCGATTCACTCTTTGTGGATCTATAGCCCGATGAGTGAGAAACAGTCTCTCATTCTCACACTCACACACACACACACACACACACACACACACACAGAAAACAAGTCCCTGATTCTGACTCAAGACTGACAAGGTCTTTCATAGCACCGTGATTTAACTAGTGCATATACAAACACACATGCACACTCTTCTGTACAGTAAAAAGCACCAAATGACACATCTGCGTCATTTGTTGAGAGCAGACAGACTAGCTTCACACCTCTTTAGTCTGCAGTCCTTAACTGTGCTCTCATGGTGTCTATCTTTAGCTGGTTAATGTGATGTGAGAGCATCAGTCTGCAGAGTAGAGTTCAATCTATACATCTGCAGAAATGGTTCATGACTGCGGAAACATGTTCCTTTATCTTGTACGGCAGAGTGACTTCAAATCTCACATGTACACACACATAAGTAGAGGCAGAATCATGGGGACTCTATAATACTCAGACGTACAATGAGACTTGGTGTCTTGGCCATACAGTTGAACTTAAAGCTATTTGTTCAGCACTGGTTAGCGACTGTCTGATGCCTCCTCACATCACACACTGCTAAGTTTAACATTCACCAACCCCATATGCAACATCGCACACACTCTACCCGGAGTCTTTGGAATGTAAAACACTGATTCCCGATGAAGAGGTTGGTCAGGTGTTTTCTGCAGATGCTGGGAAAGGTTACTGTTGTTAGTCGTGCCTACATACGTATGTTAGCCACAAGCAATTGTTAACTGCTGTGCAGAGTGAGCGCTTCCTTGGTGGTTCTGTGAGTAGTGTGTCAGCAGTTCAAGTGCACAAACACGGTGTTAACAGTTGGTAGACTGACAAAAAAGCAGAACAGAATATTGTAGTGTAGAAAAGTGTTACTCCAAACATGATTATTTGAAAACGGAGCAGCCAGGATTTTTAAAGTTATAAAAAAGCAGTGTGGTTAGTATTACAAGAAGTCACTGAGGCATCGGAGAACAGGGAGGGATTGATGGGAGGTGGGGTCCTGTGGCGATGACCCAGCCAGTGGGGTGCAGAACAAGTGTGTGTGTGTGTGTGTGTGTGTGTGTGTGCGCGTGCGTGCGTGCGTGTGTAAGCAGGTGAAATTTGTCCACTGTAGTCTTCAGTCTCTTTTGGCCCAGTTATTTTTTGTAGGATTCTAAAGGCAGAAAAGAAGGTAAACAAAGTTAGACCAACAGCTGTTCACAACAGCCCTTTACAATAACATAAAGGCAAAATATATCAGGTGCCATGTAATTAAAAACATACCAGATTTAGTCATTTAGAGTTGTAAAAATCAAATAAGATCAAAGAAGCCACATGACAACAACAACTAAAAAAAATCCAATTTAAAGAATAAAATTCTAAATTTGACAATGTCAGCCTGAGAGGCTTCAAAAAAGAACTAAACTTGAAGCAAATTTGTGAATCTCATATTATAATAATAATATACAATCCTGTTAAAGGGGAGATGTGTTGTCGATTTAGGCAATGCATATAGGTTAAGATATTCAAAAAAACTTGGACAAACTGTTTTAAAACAAAGGATGAAAAATGAAAATCTGAGATTTAACCATTTAGACCAATTAAAGGTGTACTCAATTTAGCATTGCACTTTCATTAAGTTGCTCCCTTCAGGCTGAGAGGTAGAAACTAACCATGACAAATAAACTGACCTTTATGTGTAAAAATACTGGAGTGTCCCTTTAAAATTTTATATTGGATTTCTTTAACTGTTAAGGTAAAAAAGCATATTATACTGGAGTTTGTGAGGAGCATGAACAGTTCTGCAGTTCAGCATCTCACTGCGTGCCTTTACCTCACCAGAACGACGGCAGTGCTGTCAGACAAAGATCTTGGCAAGTGCATCTGCGCCAGCACTGGCAATGAAGGGCTGCGAAGGGTGGAACGCCACGTCATGAATGGCCTCGTCGTGCTTCTTCCTATGGGCCGTGATCTCCTGCACACACGTCCTGTTGTCCAGCATCCACAGGCGCACAGAGCAGTCGTGGCCTGGGTTGGGGGGGGGCAACAATGTTATGAGGGACAAAGATTGCTGGAGAACAACGCAAAGGAATCCATTATTTTGTTTTACGACCTACACTTAATGCACAACTTCTTCTGCAATACACTACGTTATTGTTTTACCCCAGACTGCAGTTTATAGAGAGGGTTATAAAAATACCCACTTCCATACAGAATGGATGACATATTATAACAGTAGCATCAAAATCTCTCTTTAATTAAAATGACCATAGTTTACAGTATTTTGGAAATTGTGTCGATTGTCTTTATCCTACAAGAAACCTGTTTCTTAGATATTCAGCTAAATAATGAGGTTAAGCTGAGTCGTACTCACTGCCAGAGATGAGGTAAGTGCCTTTAGGGTCTGTAGTGAGACAGGTGACCGCATCCAGGTGAGCCACCATAGAGTGGACAACCTTACCTGTAGAAACACACAAGGCAAGCTCACTAAGATGCGTTCACATTCCAGAAGAAAAGTCTACAGAGGTAATTAACAGAGGACAAATGAAACACCTCCCACTGTTTACCTGTCTTGTTGTCTAGAAAGCGGATGGTGCGGTTCTCATGTGCAGTGATGGAGATGGGCTCAGATGGGTGACTGACCACTCTGTTGATCAGTTCACTGCCTGCAAAGACAAACAACTCAAATTTAATCTAGTCCATTTTATATATTCAACTGTTACAAATAAGGATGTTGGGTCCAGAACGTACCATCCTTTGTCTGCGTCTCCAGCGCAGTGGTGCTCTGCTCTGTGTTTAGGTCGTAGAGCAGCGTCTCACCGCCGTCAAATGACACCACCACCTGGTTGGGGTCAGCAGCCACGAAGGCCACTGAGGTGGGTGTTCCATGCTCTGGGAGAAGACAGGAGATGAAGAAGTCGTTGGCCGTGGACACAGCGCAAAGCTCATAAGCAAAATGTACATCCTCAACAGACGTCTACCTCTCTCCTTGTTGAAGACAGACAAGCAGGGGGCCGAGTTCTGAGGGTCCCAGATGCGAATGGTGCCATCGGCTGAGCATGAGGCAAGACGATGGTGTACTGCCGAGTAAGTTAGACCCCACACACTGTCCTCATGGCCTGCTAGTACACTGCTCTCGATGCCAGGATCTGGATGACAAAAACAAATTTTTATATATATATATATATATATATATATATATAAAAAAACATGATTCATAACAAGAAACACTTCCAAATTGGAATATCATTATTACTTGGTGATTGTTAAATGCTCTACAGTTGAGGATGACCGACCGTAGTTATCATAAGGATCCACGTTGAGGTCTGGCATCTTCCAACATCTCACAGTTCCGTCTAGACCTCCACTGAAGCAGGAGTCTCCGTCCTCACCCATGGTCAGTGACAGAACGGCCCCACTGGACAAAAAGAGAAAGCCATCAGTGGCTGGACTGCATCGGTGTATGTCAGTGACAGGTTTGTGCACAGGGTGTGAATTTGTATTTGTTCAAAGAACAGACTCAACTCACCTGTGCGCTCTAAATGTGTAGATTGGCTCAACATCCAACGCCGCGTTCCTGTGGGGTGGGATGGGGTGGGGTTTGGGGGGGGCACAGTCTTTTAAATTTGTTTCTTAGTTTTATGTCTTTGCTGCATTTGATTTTACATTTGTATGTTATCTGTCCCACTGCTGCTTGTTATATGCATAAGAAGTGCTATAACTGAATCCCTTGTTCTCCATTTTAACTCCCTGTGGATCTAAGGGTTCTTACTTTTTAGAGTGCATGGCCTTGTTGAGGTTCCACAGTTTTAGTGTTCCATCCTCAGAAGCTGTGAGCATCACCGCTTGGCTGGGGTGAAATGTCAAAGCGCGGATGGCATCAAAGTGGCTGCGTAGTGTGAAACGAGGGTTCCACGTCTTCTTGAACTCCTCTCTGTTATCCTGCATCTGACACATTCAGAAATAATGAACATTTTGAGCGTGCACAAGTTGGGTTGGATGACATCCTGTGTATTGACCAGAGCAAATGTGTAATTACATCCATGGAGAGATCATTGTCATTGGCGACCGTGAGATCAGCCAGTTCACCAAGGTTCATGTCCCCTCCGCCAACAGCATCCATAATGAAGACGTCAGAGGAGAAACCCAGGGCGCCACCTGCAGGTTTGAGGTAAAGCACAAGAGTTGCTACTGCATCTTGACAAAACATGGCCAAATAAATACAGGCTGGGATCTGTAAAATATAGCAATGAATGTTAGTCTCCCTGGCAAGAGTCCACCCATCCGGTTTCCTCACTCCCACACTGGGTAAGAGCAACTGTAAGTTTACCCCTACGCAAGCTTTCAAACTTAACAGAGCTGAAACAAGACAGCATCTAAATTTGAAATTCAACTTCTAAGCTATAAGCATGCATGTGTGATACAGGGGAGACTGAAAAAGACTACTTCAGGGAGAGGATGGTATAATGGTTTTCTATGGGGGCATTTCTGGTGAGGAAGTCTTACCTTCTCCAGAGCGAGCCTGTCCCGATACAGAAGGGGGCGGGGTGGGTTTAGGGGGGAAGTCCGACATCATGCCTTGTAACTTGTTCCTGCGGTTCTCTGAACCCGGCAAGAGGAGAGAGACAAAACATCCAGTCATGCAGAGAGGCGGAGGAAGGCCAGCAGACGAGATGACATGTGAGATACAGACGAATGTAGGCAAAAAGATAAACTTCATTCTTTAAATACATAACATACACTCATACAACAAGGGGGAAACCAATAAAAGCGCAGGCATACAGTGTAAATATGACTCAAAGAATGAAATGTCGACACATAAAAAGAGAAGGCAGCATGCGTGCTAACCTTTGAAATGACCCTGGACCACACAAAATACATCTACAGACAGACAGCTACACAAGTTTAGAGAGTCACAGACTGACAGCTCGTGAAACAGGACAGAGAGACAGGTGGTTGGGAAAAGAGGTTGGTTTTATTGACAAGAAGAGATGCCAAGACACAATGAGAAGTAAAAGATAAAAAGGTGAGCGGGGGGGCAAAAAAGACAGATACACTGGTGGCAGTGGTGCTGGCAGTGCTGGTGCTGATGATGTTGCTATGGCAACAGCGTACCTAACTCCCGTCCATCCCCTGAGATCCGGGCCTCTCCCGCCCCCTCCCCATCCTCCCCCGAGCCCAGGAAGTCAAATTCACTGAGGGCATCTTCCGAGTCGTCTTCGTCCTCCTCGTCCTCGGGGTCCAGGTCGGTGGTCATGGGCTCTGAACCCATCTGCACAAGAGAGCAGAGCGATAAAAGGGTGACTTACGCGATTTAATCACAAATTTTGCAGTTAATTGTTTGTGTTTAGTCTCATCGTTTTCATTAGAGCGCGACCAATATGAACTTTTTACGAGCAAAACTGATTTTGATATTTGATCTTCCGGTATATCGGCCGATATTCCGATCTTTTCAAAAATGTAAAACATTAAGAAAGATTATTTCTAACATTTGTTAATGTGTAGTTATGAGAACTCACCAAGATAACATGACATAATGTAGTTTAAAAATGAACCATTTAATTATAATTATAAATAGTACTTTAAACAAAAGTACACCTAATCATGTTAGCTAACTGCTGTGTTGCCAACAGGTTGCAGAGTGCCCTCTGGTGGACAAACTATGCAACGACAACAATCATAACAAGACCCGTCGCTCGGTTTCTTTTATAATTATTATTTATGTATAAATGCAGTACAGATTTATCTACAATTAGCTCATATCGGCATGCCGATTTATTGTTCTAGCTCTTACCTATACCCAATTTCATTTCTAATCACTGATCATACCTTTACGCGAGACTTCTTGTTTTTGCGCGGTCCATCAATGCAGTCAGTGGCCATGCCTTGGAAGTCATCTTCCTCGTCACTGTCATCTTCATCATCATCCTCACAGCCATGCAGGAAGGGGATCTTATCGAGCACAGAGCCACCCAGACGTTCCTTAGAGCTTTCCTTTCCCGCGTTCCTACAAATACACACAAGTTAAAAAGGACAAAAAGATTATTTAATACCTTTCAGAGGCAGGATGATCCCCTAACTTAACATATTATGCACTGTATAATATATTATTAAAAGTTTGGCAACAGCAGTCTACATTACAGTATACTTACTTTTATCATAGTCTTTTAAAAGGTTTTATGAGCGCAGTAATTTTGAGTTTCATAGGTGCATGTATGCTTTTTTTTTTTACTTTCCTACTCAGAAAACATTAACATTCTGATAAAAAATATCTTGGTTTAAAACAATTCTACTTGCAAATTTCATCTTTACATGGCAAAATATATACATGTCTGACAGGTACTTTCTGTGCAATGACAAATACACAACCTTAACAGATTTCTGCTTTTCTTTGTAATCTTACCATGTTCGCATGATGGAGGAAGCCCTCCGTTTTAGACCTCTTTTGTGCATCTTGTTCTGTTGGCTTTTGAGATCAGGATGTGCTATTTTTTCACTGACATTTCTGCTTGTACAGACAAATGCACATAGGTGCTACTCACAAAGCTGCCTTAACGATATAATGATGAATTGTCTCATGTTAACACTGCAGTAAGTACACCTACTTAACTCAACAAGTCATCTGCACATTTTCTGTCTTGTAAATCTATTTCTAGTATAGCACTGTTTATAATGATATTTCATTCAGCAATTAATAAATCCAAAGATAAAGACCAGACTAAACTCTACTCTACTTCACATAAGAGGTCAGGCGGCCTTAAGAGGACAACCCGCTCTGTACAGGACTGTGTGTTCACTACTTCTTGAACTAAACTGACCTGGATCAGTATACCATAATACTTCAAGGTCATGTCTGTGAATAAATGATCCGACTATGACATGATCTGTCAATTAGGCCACACCTAAAAATGGCGATACACAAAAGCCCATGTTGCATGTAGGTAAATAGAGCTCTAGCAGTTATGGAATGATTATACTTCTAAACTATTTTTTTTAAAGGAGAATAACAAACAAAAACAAAAATAATGTCAATCGTTTGTTTCACTCAAACGAAGTGTCATGATTTTGTTGAAAACAGCAGGCGTCACTACTCTTTTCCGCAGAGCAACAGCAGAGTGAGAAGTTGTCTGCTACCACGGTCTCACCTCTTGATTTGCTCCTCTATCTGTCTGACCAACAACGACTCTCCACCTGCCCGGGATTCAGGCTCAGGGCAGGTTTCACTGGGCGGAGGCCCATTAGCCTCTGGGCTGCTCCGTCCGAGCAGAGAGCGCACTCGCTTAGACCGCATGTCCAGGATCGTGTCTGAATAACCCACTTCTTCAAGATATCTACATTCACAGAAAAAAAAGCACACATGAATATACACAGACACCTATATTAATTAATTCAGTCTAGTGTAGAGTTTAAGTTTAAAACCAATGACAAAATACTGATGGAGCACATTAGTATGGCACCGAGATAAAAGGAGCAGATGATGTAGAGGCCTTACTTGCGTAGTAGCTGACGTCCCTCCTTCCAGGACATCTGATTGGCTGGCTCAGAGTCTGACTCAGCCGGCCCATTGGGAACTACAGAAAATAGATTGGTCAATAGTGAAGCAACAGCTAGCAGAAAAAGAGAAAAGCAGATACTTTGACTTGTTCTGAAAGTACAGCAGCAGTAAAAGATGTAACAGCAGTAGATAATATAATATTTTCAGATATAAATAAGGGCTTGGTTAAACATACGCTGGTCTGCCTCTGTCTCTGGTTTCTTATCTCCGAGACTCTGGTCATTTCCTGTCTTCAACTTCTGGTGCTTGGCCCTACAACCCCAAAAAAAGACCACATGAGGGCAGCATCACAGGCAAATAAAAGAAAATCTTTCAGCATCAAATCACTATGTCTAAAACTCGCAAAACATGATGACAGCATGCTGAATGGATAACAGACATGAGGACCCAGGGGCAATTGGTCTTACCTCTCCTGTTTGAGGGCGTACTCCAGCATTTTGATCCGCCTCACCAGGTCCTGTTTCATATTTTCCTGCCCTTTCCTCTCACCCTGTAGGAACGCCACCTGAGCCTGAAAACACACAGGATGAAGAACACAACATCACTTCAGAACAGCACAGACATACCGCAACTACTCACAAGTAAATATGATCAGAAAATCAATTCTCACTCACACACACGCGCCATAACTGCAGTGAAGTGGATAAAAACAAAGAATGTACTGTCTCAATTAAGGCTGGAGAGTAAAGCATTTGATATCAACAGAGACCATGAATGTTATGGGAAAAGTTTGATGTGACGAGCATTGCAAACATGACTTCTAAGAATCCAGAATAAGTAGAGGGTTGGGGAGCAGGGCTCTTATTTTTAACTTCTCCTAACCAAGGCCTCAGTGCGCATCTGCAGAAGGAAGGAAAAACAAGACCCAGACTGGCCAAATTCAAATGCCCTCTTTTAAGACACATCCTTCCTTTGTGTGCTTCCTCTCTCATTTTCCGTCCGTTTTCTTCCTCACTGAGCTGATAAAGCTCTTACCTTGAGGAAAAAGAAGTTCACTGGCCATTCTTGCCATTTGTCAAAGTGTTTTGTGAAAATAAAAAAGTGATAATGACAGGGATTATGACGACACTGTCACGTTGTGATGAGGAGTATCTTTAGGCAGGGTCTTCCCTTGGGTAAACCATCATAAGGCAAGACTTGACAAAATGTTAAAGTGCTGCAGTATTGAATGACAAAGATTTATAATACAGGTTTCTGTGTTTTGCACCAAGTGATGCTTCACAGTGGGCAGTTTTAAGCAAAATGTCAATGACCCAGTGGGGTGAAAAAAAAAACTGTTTCCAGTTAGAGGTGTGTTAAAAAGGACTAATCCAGTTTCTACTTTGAGGGTTTGCATGCAGGCGATTGTAGGCACAAGAGTTTTGCATTTTTACTCCCTCCCTGTCTGTGCCAAGTGGTACTGGAGCATTAATGCTCTTTTTTTTTTCTTCCATTCCTTCTCTGCACGTCCGTGTCTGTGTCCACGAGCCTGCTCCCACACGCATACGCAGTTCTGCAAATCTAGAACAGTCTAAAAACACTATCTCATGGGGCAGGCACTCGGTCTACTTGAGAGGGTAGTCAATCATCCAGGAAAGTGCGCGCACACACCCACACACACATGCAGACAGACACACACACAGTCACGTAACCAACTAGAACGGCTAGCGGAACACAGGATAATCTGCCAAGCAAACCTTACTACCGCTGCTGCTGCTGAGTAATCCTGATTAATGCTATGTGATTTTATATGCTTATCAGAGCATTTTGGAGATAACTGTCAAGGCTATCATGTAAACACTGCAGGCAGAATCTAAGAGGTTGTAAAATACAGATAACTACGTGGTTTATACTTGGCCTAACCTAGGAGTAGTAGTACAGCTCTTGCAAATGATCTATATAAGTAAAATAACTAATGAATAAACTGTGAGCACTAAAAGGATAGGTTGAAAAGCACTGCGTTCATTTGAGCAGCTAGGAAGACTAGTGAAACACATAAATCTGCTCGGCCTTGTATGAACTGCTATGTCATATAAGTTGGTTATGTGGTTGATAAAAGCTAGCATAAGGTTAGCTGGAACAGCAGCTAGTTGGTTGCACTTTCCAGCTGCACACAAGTAGTAGCCCAATTGTGTAGTGGTTGTGTTTTGTAATGGTAGATGCAATACTGTATTTCACACAAGCAGAAACACTTGGAGTTCCAGTCTGACATATTCAGACATAAATGTTAGCATGCTAAAATACAAGCTGCTCAGCTGTCTTGCTAGCTGGGTAGTGTCAAAGTGCGGGATGTTCAGAATATAAGACAACAGCATGTATGTTATGCACTGGGTACTAAAATCTGTCAAATTCAAGAGAAGGGCAGAGTTGAATATGAGATCGTCTGTACACAAATAAACAAATCAGAATACTCAGTGTAACAACTTGGAAGCTTTTTGGTGAGTGAAAAACACCATTGTCAACTCAGCCTTGATGCACAGTCCTGCTTAAAACCATGTCCAAAAATTATGGTGTGACAACTAGCTACAGATGGGCAGATACTGAGCTCTTCACCTTGTAAATGGTTCTTAGGTCGGCCGGATTTGTACAGATCTGGTCTGAACATAAGAGCTTGAACTAGCAGCCATTTACCAAGATAGCCAGAAGTAGTCACGGGAATGTCACAGAGGTATGAACAGTGATTTGGTCATTTACTGGCATTTGCTTAACTAAAACAATCTGACTCAAATCAGCATAGTGCTTTGTATTCCACCTCTAAATGGAATGTGTCAACTACTTCATATTTAAGGGGCAGGGCACGTGTTTCTACTCCTACTCACACACACACACACACACACACACACACACACACACAGGCGAGCTACAACCTGCTCACACATGGAGATAAACATCACATCCTTGTGTGCTACTGACACACTGAGTTCCTGGAAGGACAGGTTCCCACTAGCGCCCAAAACTTAACATCGCCGACACTGCTTTCTTGGTCAAGATAGAGACAAGGCTGCATCCATACACACCCCAAATATTGACACGACAATGAACACACACTGTAAGAGCGGCCTTTTCCTGATACATAAAGGAAGTCAAAACAGAGAGATTGGTGAGTCAAAGGGTTGGCTGTATATCATTCTTCATCTATGACTTAACTACTCATCCTCTGGCTAAGACCTGGTTTTACTTGCTCTCCTTTATACAGTATTTTAGTTTAAAAGTGGCAGGGTAATAGGGTTGAGCGGAGTGAATTCATTCACCACAGCACACATTTGCTGTGTTAGGGACAAGAACAAATGCAGCTTTCAGTGCAAAACAAGGTCCCAAAACTAAGAGAGCCTATCAAGGTGTGTGAATACATTAAAAAAAAAGTTGAAATGTTAAAAAAAATTCATGTTGAGGAGTAACAAAATTATTAGTTATTAGTAACTAGTAGTAGTATGATATCTTTGTATTATGTTGATAAACTAACATAGCCTAAAGTATAGAGGATCCTTGTTGCGAGCAAACCTGTCGTGCCATCTGATCTTTCTTTCCTGTGGGTGGGTTTTCCTCCATTTGGCCTACTGCTGCTGACCTTTCCAGACTTCGGTGTAGCGTGGAGAGATGACACATTTAGCCTATTCTGTCAGTCCTTCTCTGCTAGCTGCAGAACAGGGTCAAGGGCAGCTTTTCTCCTCTACTGGCCACCCTCCAACTTCTCATCCCTTCATCCCCATGAGAGAATCCTTGAGCCAACAAGTAGAGCAATGAACTTTTCTGGGACAGCCTGCTTTGACAGAGTGTGTCGATTGTGTGCGTGCAGTATTTAGCTGGAGAACGACATCCTAAAAAGTTGGATTTGCGGCCCAAGTCTGATTAGAAGATGCTTGATAAGCACTGGGAATGTGTTTGAATAAGAATGGGCACTAATCGTAAGATGGGAAAGAAACTAATAAATACAACAATAAGGAGATAAGTACATTCAGAAGAAATACTAAAAATAAATACATATATGACAGGAGTGCTGCAAGTCTGCGCGGGTGCAAGGCACACACTGTAATGCAGTACATATGGATGTCATGTGTGTGTCATGGCTGGGAGCATTGAGCTATTAATTAGAGATGTGTACCCAGGGGTCCACTGGTCCACACTCAACCGGAAGTGATGTCATCTGGGTCACCAGTTATCTATTCTACACAGCTACTGGCACAGTTAATACAATTAAATAGCTGAAAATGAGAGGAAGAGGTAAAGGTCTGCCCTTTTCCCTGTATAATAAATATAGTAACTTGGTTCAATATCTGCTGCACACCCTGTCTATGAAATTATAACAAAGACTATGCAAAAACAAGCTTATTACTACAGGCTTGTTCAGACAAGGTGCAGTAGTAGTGTGATTTGTGAGAATACATTGGGAAACCGCTTCTTGTGTGTCTGAAGGAGGGGGTGGGGACAAGGCCACTGCCACCTGTCCTTCCGTCCCATGGTCCTACCGGGACGTCCCACCTGGCCCAAAGCGGGGGGGCCGTCATTCCTGGCCTGTCACTGGAGACACAACGCCACAGGTGGCCTTTCACATTGAAAACACACTCAGAGACAGCACATGTGTTACAGTCTCACAGAGACACGCTAATACCACAAACGCACATCCACGCTGTCACACAGAGTCACAAAGTCGTAAGATGATAGTGTTAATCTCTGTCAAAGATTTTGCCACAGCCTTATGAATGCCATAAAAGCACAAAACATCATATGTAGGTGATATGTGAGCAGACTATGAACACATATATGTTGCTAACTGTACAGGAGGTGGCTTGGGGGCACGATAACTGGCACACTGAGAGCCCTGCGAGCATACTGGCAACAAAAGCCTGTGGCCTGTGGGTGTTAAAATGTAAGCTAGGTCAATTTTTCAGCCTGGCACTCCAGAGATCCTTGCTTTCTCTCAGCACAGGACGTGGTGATAATTGTACCCGTGAAACCAGACCATGTGCAGCAAATGCGCACACACAAACAAAGTTCCATACCAAGCACTATGGCATGTTGGACATAGCGATGGACTGCTTCTGACTTCCCTTCCCACTCTACCCCACACATACGACCAGAAAAGCAGCAAGCGCGGCCAGTTTGTTATTGTTCATCCATATTTTATCAGGCCCCTATTTATAACTACATAGGTTTGAGTCAGGGGAAAAAGTGAGAAGTGGAGTGACAGAAGAGAAGCAATGATATGTTTCTGTCCTCCTGTGGTTTCCTCAAGCTCATGAACTGCAGAAGATAGTTCATCCTAATTACAAGCAAACTGTGTTACAGGAGGAAGACCACATGTGGGTTTGGGAATGAAAAGATGAACTGTTCATCCACTTCATTCCAAAATGCAGAGCGCAAACATCTTTGAATGTGTGTATGTTGTCCTAACCTTTCTTAATCCTGGAACAATTTGATGAGTAAGCCGCACTCTCACCCAGCAATGCTCTGCCTGACACAGTCGCACACATGCATGCGGGAAAGCTGCATAGTACAACCTCTGTCTTCTTCTGCTGTTGGCCTCTGAATAACTGCAACCATTAGGGGACCCGTGCCTTGCTCAAGGGCATTTCTATAACACTGACTCACATTCACATGGATTCTTCTAGACATTTCACAGACTCAAACTGATTACTTTTAAAGACTCAATCTCACTTCTCTAACCTAAAGGCAGACAATACATATGTGTTTGTAATCTGCAGGTCATTTTATATTGTTTTTTTTTTTCTTTCAGGCAGGATTTACAAGGATTAGTTGTAGATAAGATGGTGCTTGACTGACAATGCTCGTTGACAGTCAGAATGATACTGAAAAATACAACTGTAAACATTTCACCCATGTTCATCCACCACACCCCTTACTCATCCATCTGTGTGACAAGCCCTAATTCATAATGTTGATTTCCTTCCAATGCATGTTACTACCGACCCTTAATTTGTTGATTATGCCTCAAAAAACATCGACAGTAAACTGACTTTCAAAGAACTACCATTCTCAAATGCAGTGATTTCAAAAGGGAACTCACAGCTCTGTGTGTGTGTGTGTGTGTGCCACTGTCATCATCTTTTAACCACAGCAGCACAGCCACAGATCACTTGATTTGTCCCCATGGGATATGAAAACCCAGTAATTGCATACTTACATATTATGGTTCTGCATAAACAAACACCAAAATACAGTGCACCATAAAAGGAGCATGTCTTTGATGTTTACTTGAATTAATATGAAGGAGACAATGCAAGGTAGCCACACCTAAACTCTGTTTACCTGCCTTTTGTATTTGCAGGATAACTTGCCTGTTGTCATAAGCTGACATAAACCTCTTACATCTAACTTCGTGCTGTATATATATATATATATATATATATATATATATATATATATATATATATATATGTATATGTGTGTGTGTGTGTGTGTGTGTGTGTGTGTGTGTGTGTGTGTGTGTGTGTGTATGTATGTATGTATGTATTTGTGAATGTATATGTAACTGATTACATATAGTCCAAAAGGCAATGATTAATGCCTTCTGAAAATACTATTTATTTTATGTATAAAACCCACTGCTGGCGGTTTGGCTTTGGGTGACCATCACCTGGAGGTCATAGTGTCCCTTCATTTTCCGTTACGGTCTAGGAATAACACATCCTGGTCAATACGTTATGATAGGGTGTAATGGTAGCCCGTTAGCATTGTGTCATCCTGGAACGGACTGACTGTAGGGCATGTGTACTGTCACAAAGCAGCACATAAGGAGCTCCTGCGATATCCGTCCTTGCCTTTATTCGGCGTTACGGCTGCAAACGCAAGCTAACGTTAAATGATAAACAAATTTACCCTGAGTTCGTCCCTCTCAGCCTCCCAGCGGTATTTCTCGGCCTGGAAGCGTCCCCACTCGTACTGGATGAAGTGCAGGATCCCAGGAAGCGTCATACCAGAGTCCCCGTCCTGCAGCTCCCGAGTCTGCGCCGATCCGGGCATGGCCCCGGTCGCCGCCGCCGCCGCCGCCGCTGCTGCTGCTGCTGCTGCCATCGCCCCGGTCACCGCAGCTGATGTCGCCTGGCCCGGTGCTGCTTTGGGCCCGTTTGGGTTGCGCCCCGCTCCGCTGCTGCTGCTGCTGCTGCCGCCTCCGGAGTTCGGGTTTGGTCCTCCACCGGATCTGTCCGCCTCCATTTTAACCGTTCAACCTTTCGCCAGAAGGTGGAAACGGGCAGAGTGTACGAACAATAATAATTTTAAAAAAGTACCTCGTACCCTTCTTCCAACCCAGCAGCACTTCACTATTGGCGACCCTCTTTTCTTCCTTTTCTCTCTCTCTCTCTCTCACACACACACACAAACACACACACAGAGCAAAATTACTATTCAGGTGGTAAAATGCTACACTTCCGTCCTAAATCCTTCAAGATAAAACACGATCAAGCCACATAGGTGTAACATTGTGGATTCGTGGCTTGTTTAGTTCCCGAAAAGCCATATTTAACATACATTCTTACTTTAAAATGTACGTTAAAGTAACACTGAAATATGGCTATTAGGTGTCTATCACTCAAAACAAGTGTGAACGTTTTCATTTCTAATCTTATTTTGTAAATCCCTGATGCATTTCCCTCCTCCTTGTGCTTGCTTTTGGAAATGCCCAATGTGGGTGACAAATAAAGGGCCATGTTGGCTGTAACACACAATGTACAAGTCGCTAGGGATGTTCATTTCCTGCCATTTTGTGAGCAGAGACGTTTGAGGACAGTGAAGTTAGCCCAAAGTATGCACAATTTATTTTCCGGTTTTAACTTTCATTTCTACAACGCAGATTGACCGTGATTTTCTAAGGTGACAACAGCTGCATGCGGGTCTAAGCTGCTGCTGCTTGTGTGGTTTAACAAAACGGTGGAGGTAACTTGTGCATACTGAGCTATGAAGGCTATAAATGTCTGCCTGATTGATCTCTCCATGCCAACATCATAGTTTTTAATCAATTGGACTTGAATAAAACAAACTTAGACTTCATTATCCAGTGGAATTTTTGACTACACTAATTACCTATTGAAGTGGGGGAAGTGACTAAATCACCATCCAACCCCACACAGTATGCATTCCTCTGATGATACTGAGGCATGCAAACATCTTTATCTTCTACTTCATATTACAAAATCTGTAGCATTCTTTGTGGAAAGCAAACACCTGCAAGCAAAAGAGATTAAACCAGTAAAGATGTTGGTTGAAGATTTATGATAAAAACGTCAGAGTATCTTTTAAAATTGGAAATTATTCTGAAGGATTTGAGCCGGAAGTCTTTGTGTTGTTGCTGCTGCGGGCGACACAGACTGCGAGCGTGATAGCGTAATGGTAAATTGGGTTTCATGGTTGAGCTTGTGTTAAACTTCATAGTAATGAAATATTCTGATGCAACTTGTGTGCCCTTTGTTGTGGATTTCGTCTTAAAATGTTGGGGACTCGGTTCCACCCACAACCGCACAAATATTAGCTAACAATGCAGACTGAAATCTGTGCGTGCTGCTAACAGTTACCGATTCAGCCAGGTTTGCTCCTAATGCTACAAGAGCTGGCTGAGATGAACCACCATGAATACCAAATATAGTTCAACAAGGTTAATGGGCTTAACGTTGCTAAAGCTTGTGATATTAACGCGGCTAACGTTAATGCATAATGTGATGCAAATGATTGTATTGTAGAGAATGAAATAGACACATCCAAATTAAGGTGAGTTGTGCTCATGAATTTCACCAGCCTGTTTTTGCTGATTGGTAATGCAGCTAGCCATATTTTGTTTATAAAAGGAAACCTTGCATGGAGCTATGACTGTCCTAGTTTGTAATGTTACTAATTTATACAGTTATTATGTACATATAAGTCTGTGGAATTAAAAGCAAAATACAGTTACTTCATATTTTTTTCTGTCTTTCACAGGTTGTCTTCAACTCATTCCTCCACTATGCCACTAATCAGGACCTGAGACACTTCACTGTATTTCTTAACTGAAACTTCCAAAATCTCTTGGTAGCAACTGGAAAGTAAACATTAGTTGCCATGCGTATCAGTCTCTGCCAGGGCCTGTTAACTGGCGCCATCATCCTCAACCTTCTCATTCTCTACTATGTGTCCCGGGCCCAGCAGCAAATGATGGAGAAGAGGAAGGAACTTGGCAGGGGCACGAGGAGGTCTGCCCTACCAGCCTCTGGTCTGGGGGGAGGCCTAGGGGCACTTGTTGGAGCTGGAGGTGAGCCTGGAGTGGTCGGAGTGGAGGGACATAGCCGTGGCCCTCGTGTGACTGTTCTTCTTCGGGAGTTTGAAAACTTTGAGAATTATGTTGGGGATGTGGCTAATTCCTTTCTCCGCCAGAGACCTGAGCTTCCCTTCCTGGCTGTGGCTGACACATCTCCATACCCTCCCCTGATGCTTCCAGAGGGGGCGCGACTTCTAGTGCTCTCCCCCAGTCCGGACCAGCCACCGCAAGCTCACCGGCCAGAGTACCACGTCCAGACAGAGTTTGTGCTCCTGGTGCCTGATGGGGTGGAGCTGGAGCAACCTCGGGCTATCGAGAGGCTGATCAGGGAGTTGGAAGGTGAGGGTGGGGGGCCTGTGAGGCTGGTGGCTGCACCCGTACTGGCTCGATCTGCTGTGCAGTGTCTCCACCTGCGGGTGAACCTCAGAGAGTGGACGGCTACCTACTCGCCGGCTGCGTCTGGGAGCAGCGGGAGTGTCTGTACGGCTTTACAAGGAGATGCAATTGTCCTCATTCGCACTGAGGATCTTTTTAACCTCTCTGTCCCTCTGGGGCGTCCCCTCTTCTCCTCGCTCTTTGTCCAGACTGCCTTGAGAGGCTGGAAGGTCAAGCTGCTGGAGAGCCCATGTTTCTCCGCAAACCACCGGCCCCTGTTCAGCTCCGCTCACAACCAATGGAAGGCAGACTCTCGACTGAAGGAGGCCACCGGGAAACTCATGAGGAGCTTTGGTCTGAAGCGTCTCCTGCTGCCTGATGGGAAAGAACAGTGGTATGGCTGCAGTAAAGAGACGCCTCGCTGCTTTGGCACTGTGCAGGATGACACTCCAGACTACCTGTATCTGGATCGCTGGACACCTCCCTGCTGTTTGCGAGCTCTCAGGGAAACCACCAAGTATGTCATCAATATCCTGGAGACCTCAGGTGTGCGCTACTGGCTAGAAGGGGGAACTCTACTGGGCGCCGTCCGCCATCAGGACATCATCCCATGGGATTATGATGTGGACCTGGGCATCTACCTGGAGGATATCCTAACTGTGATCACTTGAAGAACCTGGACGCAGGCTCTCTTGTGGATGCTAATGGCTATGTCTGGGAGCGTGCAGTGGAAGGAGACTTCTACAGAGTCCAGTACAGCGAGGCCAACCACCTGCATGTTGACCTGTGGCCGTTCTATCCACGCAATGGCGTCATGACGAAAGACACATGGACAGAGCACAAACAAGACGTGGAGTTCCCAGAGCACTTCCTGCAGCCGCTGGTGCCCATGTCCTTTGCCGGCATCACTGCCTACAGCCCCAACAACCACAGAGCATTCTTGGAGCTCAAGTTCGGAGAGGGAGTTATTGAGAATCCCCAGTATCCCAACCCCGCAAAAAAGAGGCTGGACAGAAGCAAATTATGAGATAATGGAGACACACCAGCCCTTTTATTTCGTACTGTATTTGTTTATCTAACACAACACAGAAAATCTTGCCTCAATGTATTATTTTTTAAAACTGCCTAAAAGATGAGGCTTGGAAACTACTATGGTGCCAAAATGACTGCATTTGCTGTCAGTTTTTCAAAAATGTAAATCCGTACACAAGCGCATTTACACCTGGAATACCTCAGAGTCAAAGACTGGTTTGACTACATGGTGAACTAAATCTGTGTGTTATATAGTAATGTATACGTGTGACTGCTGAAAAAATTATAAATACTTTTAAATTATATTGATATTGGTTTCTTGTTAAAAGCTAGAGTGTACAAAGTCTTAAGCAGGATTTGAAGTTTTGTACAGAATTATTTAAAAATAAGTGATTATGAATTTCTTTACTGTGTTGCATTGATTTGCACGGATTGTTTTCAGTTTTGCACAGTTTATGAATGAATGTTACGTATCTCTGTGCCACTTGGTACCAGACGGCTGGGGTGAGTACATTTTCATGTGGTGAAATGAGAAACGCACCATTCATCCTGTTATTGTTGGCATATGGAGACAATAAAATGTTGCTCTATCAGGCCTTAGTATTCAGTTAAAAATATGAAACTGTGTGTTAATACTGAGTGCCCATTACATACTGACTGAAATGGAATATCATTTCAGTAGATTATTAATAGAAAACCTTTTAAAAGAAGTTGCATACAAAACCCACCAGCATCTCTGGGTACGTTTCCTGTAGTGTTACTTGAGTGTGATGTATCAAGGTGTAACCTCGGTTCATTAACTGGTAAAATAAAGAAGTTGTAATGGATTAATGTTTATTTTATTACTTTGCTTGAAGACTCTTGGCGATTCTACTGTAAATTTAGTGACTGTAAAGTTATTTTTTTAACACTAGGTGGCATAACACACCTAGTTATTCTGTGGCCTTTGTAATTCCTAAGCCTAAATTGTGTTCACGTCCTGTCAGCAGCATTGTAGGAGTTCTTCTGCCATATGGCGAACGCCCGGAAGTGGAGGATTTTATGACAAACAGGAATGTAACATGTGCCTCCACCAGTCGAGACAGATGTCCGCCCACCTTTAGTCTAGGTTCTGCTCGAGGTTTCTTCCTGTTGAAATTTTTCCCTCAAAGTGCTTGCTCATGGTGGGAACTAGGTTGTGTCACTGTAAATATTAGTTTGGTCAAACCTGCTCTATATGCAGGAATGCGTCTCACTTGTTTGTCAAACTGGTTCTGCTATTGCTTCTGATCCTACTCAAGCAGAAGCTGCTCTGTATTTCAGAATCAGCTTTACTTGCCAGGTATGTGTACACATGAGGAATCTGAATCAGAATTGTACATTACTCATTGTGCTTACTTATACAATAATAAAATCAGACATAAAGAAAAATAATTTAAAATAGCTGCCTTTCACCTGTTGGTGCTGCACATGTTGTATTCCTCTTACTTAATGGAAAACCAGCATTGTTCATATATGACCTGGTAATTAGATAAGCATCTATAGCACTGACGGGCAATTGTGTTTTTGTGCAGTTTTAGTGCATTTTCAATGTCATGAAATATGCAGGGACAACTCACCACTGCAGTAAGTAGGGTTTAAAATGTGCAGGGAAGGTTGTAACAGCCAAGAGACACAGCCAAATACAAAAGACTTTATTGTTTAAAACCTAAAGATACTAGATTCAGACTTCC